CAGGTTTGTGTCTGTGTGTGTTGAAGAATCTGTTTTGTTTGGCTGGTTTATTTACATTCGAGGAACCACTTTCCCTGTAGTTCAAGGGAATTAAGTATTTTACTGATGTTGACCCACATCTTCCACATTCCACATCCTCTTCTTGGAAATAAAGCAACAATTTTAACATCCACTGTCTGTAAACTCCAGGTGGAATCTCATCCAAGCATCTTTACTGAGGCATCCTCCAGTACCCACTGTAGAAAATCTGAACACCTCCTCTTCTTTCACCTCCACAGCAGCAGCCCAGTCCCTATTCATTTTCCTTTTTGAAAACCTGTCCAACCTAACATCAGTGTGTTTGCATATCAACAGGCCAAAAACTGTGTTTGTGTGAAGTGTAAGGGTGGACAGAGTACTGTGGGAATCAGCATTGAGAAAGTTTGTTGTTTGAGATTTCATGAAAAGTTCAAGACAACATGAAAAAAGCTGTAGTAATACATATGTAATGAAGCACTTTTTGAGCACCATGTGCAACAATTAGCTCGAGCTGTTCTCGAGCAACTCCCCACCGAATAAGAACAGCACGATGTTATCCGTCGATAGCATTGATAAATGGATCGTTTTGAATAAAATGTGCTTCAACGTCAGCTACCTTCTCTAAACAGAAGGAGCAACTCTAGGGGTAAACACTGTATGGGTACTCAGCCCTCATGAAGTAAAATGTTTTTAATCTGTGTATTTTATGGAACTGAGTAGTGGTATGGTTTTTATATGGAAGAGGATTTATTACCTGTGGGCAAGGCAAACTAATTACTGACAATGTTGACAAAAGGTTTTTCTTTCTCACGAGAGCGTCTGATTAAAAAAGTTGAAGACTGTCAGAAACATTTTAAATACGTATGCTCAAAAATGTCAATAAAAGTTAGTTGTTTTTTTTCTCCTTGTCTTTAGTAAGGAAAGCATATATGGATCCAAACAGCCTCCAACGGAAAATATATTGCACCCAACATCTTTTCTGAGTATTATGTGTTTTGTCTTGACCGTTCTAAGTATTTGTAGATTTGCAGGTGTGGCTTCTCAAGTCATCCAGAACACGACAAATGCCCCAAAATTATTAAAAAAAAAAAAAAAAAAAAACACTGGACTTGTATTCAGAATAGAATAGAAACAGAATAGGAGAATAATAATCCCCTTGGTTTAATAAAAAAAATTGGATCTACTTCTTTGATTTATACTGCCGTCTTGTTCAAAAAGGTGCTGGTAATTAAAAAGCAAATTTACACATCCCTAAGAAAATTGAGCAAATATGTATTTTTGCCATATACATTCATCTTAATTGATTAGCTTTGATGTGTCAGGCAGGAACAATTAAAATCCTAATTTTGATTTAAAAAATAAAATTGTGAAGACAACTATGTACAGGTATTTGTCAATGTTAAACAAAAAGAATAGGTTTGTCCCGTAGGTGACTGCAGAGTACAAATATTCTTACTGTGCCTTAGATAAAATTGTTCTCTTAAAGTAATCCTTTTTATTTAATCCGTGATTCTCAACTGGTGGGTCGTGACTCAGAACTGAGTCACTGGCCTTCGTCTGGACCAGAGGTCTGCAATCTTTGCAACAACTATCTTCTTTTTTATTGTAAAGTGACACTAAATTTGTTTGACCCATGAAATTAACAAAAAAAACCTATACATTTTGATCATTTTATTTTCTTGTATACAGTTCCCGTACTAGTTTATGCTGCACTGTGGTGCAGTGCAACTGGTAAAACATTAGGCTGAGTTTGAGCCCAGGTGGCATCAGGACGAACACGACTGACTGATCTTTGTGATTTCCCTTTGTGACGACCCCAGCAGAAGGCAGCAGCCAAAAATAACGTTGCACAGAGGCTTCTCTAGTTTCTTTTTTTTAGGTGTTGCTTTGTGCGTTGCCCGTTTTCTGTTTGTACAGCACTTTGGTTGGCCTTGTCGCCATTTAAAGTGCTCTATAAATAAAATGGTATGGTGATAGTGGTGTGCTGGGGCAGCAGGGTGAAGAAAGCTGATGTCAACAGACTTGATAAACTCATCAGGAGAGCTGGCTCAGTTCTGGGAGTGGACCTGCAGTCTCTGACCGGTGTCTGAGCAGAGGATGCTGAGGAAACTGCTCCAGATCCTGAACAACACGTCACCCCCCGAATGACACGTTGGACTCACTGCAGCACCTTCAGTCGTAGACTGAGACCACCGAGGTGCTCCACAGAACAACACAGGAAGTCCTTCCTCCCTGTGGCTATCAGACTTTTCAACTCTTCCCCCTTTCTGCACATTGGACAATAAAACTAATCCTGCACTTTAATGTTTCTGTCTGCACCTGTCCTGTTTAGAACTTAATTGTTGGTATTTTTATTTTCTGTTATTTTATATATATTGTTATTTTTGTTTATCTTGTGTGATTCCTTGCGTTTGTTCCTTTGTACTGAAACTCTGGCCCAATTTCCTGCAGGATCAATAAAGTTCTATCTTATCTATCTTGTATCGTACACGTCTTTTAGAATATCTTGAAACCTAGTCATTTTAAATTGATGTGCCAAACTGCGTTCTGCCTATACATACTTTGACCTCAAGTTTGTTTAAAAGATTTTTAAAACATTCTGGTGGATTTGTTGACAAAGTTGCATAAACAAAGCTGGCAGCAGATCAGCAAGACAGAAAAACTGATCTTTGCTATTGGAACTTGTTCTAGTGAAACCTCAAGCCATAATGAGCTCAGGCTGATACTGAAATGACGTGAAGCTTTGTACAACAAGCCTTTTTATTGTTGATATGTGTACTAATAGCTGTCAAGTATCTGTTGAGGCGGCGGTGGCTGAGTGGTTAGAGCAGTCGTCCTCCAATGCAAGAATGGGGGTTCGATTCCACCAGCAGTCACATGCTGAAGTGTCCCTGGGCAAGACACTGAACCCTTCACAGCCTCTGATGTGTGTCCCATCAGTGTATGAATGTGATAAAGCTCTGATTCGTCTCTTTAGAATAATTGGTTCAATTAGCTTTGCACAGTTCTAGTAGAGTGCTGTATGAATGGGTAAATAAGGCACAGATTGTAGTGTAAAGCACTTTTTGAGTGTCTTGATAAGACAGAAAGGTGCTATACAAGTACAGTCTATTTACCATTTAATAACCCATACGCAGCCCAACCTGGTGGAATGACCTTCTGTAATTCTGCTGCAATTGGTCCTCATCTGCTCACAAAGACTCATGTTCGGGCTGCTGTTGTTTTGGCGCATTGTTTTTGTACTAGTAGTGCTTAGTGTATTCTTAGTGTAGTGAATGTAGTATATTCTTAGTTCATGACTCGGATCTTACTAATGTTTTTCTTTACAATTTGAGTTTTTGTTGGATGTAACTGGGACCCTGTGTACATAGTTTCGTCCCACCTCATGTACCACGTGTGGCGTGTATGACAAATAAACCTCTCTGAATCTCTGAATCAAAAGTTCTAGATATAAACCGGTATAAGATTCTATTATCAGTTTAAATGTAAACATGACTCTCATTCGTGCCCTTTTTGTTTGAACAAGGCGTCACCTGAGAGGATCTGAAGTCACATATGGCTCTGGTTGCAGACACCTGATCTAGGCACAAAAGAAAAGTTTTTAAAAAAATCCCAACTATTACATCATCCTTATGGTTAAAGCATGAATTTGTGACTGAAATTTTTAAATTAAATATTGAGTAGGTGGGTATTCAGCTAAAGCTACAGATTTTGAGTCTTTCTGAAACTACAGACCCTCTCAAGTACCTTGTTCAAACAAAAATGGCATGAACGCACGTAATGTTCACATTTAAACTGATAATAGAAGCTTATTCCTGTTTATATCTGGAACTTCTGCAGCAGAATTACAGAAGGTCATTCCACCGGGTTGGGCTGCTTATGGGCCGTCATTTAACAGAAATTAGTACACGTAATAAAAAGCTTGCTTATCACCATCTAGTTTGTTAAAAGCTGATGAAGTGAAGATTCTTGGTTTTAATTCAAAATGCAGGTGAATGATCATAAAAGGCAACATTCCCCTCTCTAAAATCACCACTTGCTGGTCATTATGGTTCATCATTCAACTTGTTTTTTGTGCTAACAAAACAGTTTTTTTTATTTATTCTAACATCTAAAAAGTTTCTGGATTTGGATCACAGATCGTCATTAAAACGTGATTTGGGTCTTCAAGCCAGACCAGATGAGAAACACTGTAATAAATAGTAGACTGAAAGTAAATAAGGCAAAGCAAAGGAATAATAGAGCTTTATCATAAAGCAGCAGTAAAGTGGGAATGTCATGAAAATAATCTTCTTTAGAGCATGATGTTTGTTATTTTCAGAAGACGAGCAGACAGCTCTCCTCAGCAATCTGTCCGTGTGTTTTTGATCTGAATTGGGCTCTAGATATACTCTGGATAAGAATGCAGGCTTGAATGTAAAATTCTCCTAAAGAACTTCAAGTAATCCTTTCTGCAACAACATACTGAAGGCAAAAAGGCATGTTTCTAAAATAAGACTTGTTTTATGGATAATATCTCACAACTGAGTGTGATTTCTAGTTAGAATCTTTTAGTTTGTAAAAAAAAATAACATAAAAAATATAAATTAAAGCATATTAAACACAGATTCCACAATCCTCATGTCCAGCACTACTTTACCCACACACTGTGTGCTGTTTGGGAGTTTCCAGTTGACACTGGTTTTATTGTGTTCAGTTCACACTGAAGACGATATGCAAAGACGGTTAAAGCAGGATTGTTTAAGCATGTAGGACCCATAAGAGGAACTATGAAAATTGAGATACTTACCCACTGTTGACCCAGGCTACTTATCAGTCATCCTTGATAGAAAATGTCTGCACAAGTGTGTGTGTGTGATTTTGTATAACTGCTTTATGCATTGTTGAGATTTAAAGGGCAGAACTAATTTTCAGTCCGAAGAAGTGCTTTGTGCATGATGTATGAACTACTAGACTGTGTACGAGTATTGAATGGTACATACACTTGGTGTTTGACTTAGATGATGGTGTGGAGGTGGACTGAACAGCTGTGAGACTGGGGGTGCAGGCTACAAGAGAAGCAGCCACCTCCTGCTCCCCCTCATCCTCGCTCATCTCCTCTTCACTGGCACACTCTGAAGCTTTTTCTGCCAACCTCTTGGATGTCCGAACAGAACTTTGAGCCTGAGATTGAACATTTTTAACATGTCAAAAATATATATATTATTTATAATCATTTTCTACAAACTAGAAATCTTAAACTAACAAAAACTCCTTGACACAGTACACAACTTAATCCTGACATTCAGTATGTTTTGCTTACTTTTGCAGAGTTTCTGGTTGTTGCGGGGTTCCTCTGTGCTCTTCCTTTGGACTTGGGCACTCGGGGGCTTGAGAGTGTCTTCATAGTGGCAGCAGCGTGCTGAAGGATACAGTCAGTACCACAATAAACAGAATCTGCCAGCGCTTGTCTTAAGCAGCCAGGCCCAGTGCACTGACGAAGAGAGCTGTCCGTCTCCATCTCAACTTGAGGATCAGCTTCACCTAAAGATTCATCTTGAGTTATAGATTCAGCTTCACCTAAAGGTTCAGCTTCAGTTATAGATTCAGCTACACCTAAAGGTTCAGCTTCAGCTGCAGGTTCAACTTCAGCTGTGGCTTCAGGTATCACCACCAGAGTGTGCTTTTCCTCCTGCTCCTCCTCCACCAGTACAGTCTCCTGAAAACAGATCCCCAACTTACACCCAGAGAACCGACATACTTTGTAAAAATGTCACTGACAAAATATTACTCCTAACAAAATATCACATGTTGCTTTCAGACAGCACAAATATACAATATAATATATTAAACCAAACAAATTTAACAGCTATTTTCTTTATCTTCTAACTAAATTCTGCAAGTACTCTTGGATCAGGAACAATCTAAAATGAATCCAAACCTTGAGAACTTGCTGCTCCTTTGGCTGCACCAAGTCTAAATCAGGAGGATTTAACAACAAACAATCAGGAAAGATGAGGTCTGGGTCTGGCAAAAGGAGAGACTCGAACTGGATGTGGCTCTGCTTCTTTGAAGTACAGCTCAGACAGGTGTACACTTGCTCCTTCCTCTCGATCTTCCAGTCCTGTCTCTCACTGATACCAACGCAGTCACCATGAAACCACTCGTGGCAGTCGACACAGCAGATCATAAACCTGAAAGAAGCAGTGATCAAGAAATGAAACTGACACTCAGTCCAGATATGCAAACCTCTCTGCTCATGAGATACTAGTCCCAGAAACGAGCTTGTACCTCTTATTTTGGGTCAGGTGGCAGATGCAGCAAAATATACTGGACTCTAATTCTTCAGTGGCAGATATGGTGGGACACTCTCCTGTATTTTCACACTCGTTCCTCTCATGCACGCCCTCCATCTGAACTGGTGCATCATCAAACTGGCCACGAGTTACTGTAATACCCTGGTTAAAATCACTGTCTAAGATTATACAATCAGACTGCTGAGAGCTATTCAGAGAAATATGAAAGTGGGCAGGTGAAACCGTTGCTTCAGGAGGGATGTCTGGATCGTTTTCCTCCTCTTGTAAACACTGCTGCACTTCTGGATTAATAAGCATCACCTCATCATCGCTGTCATCATCTGCAATATTTGACTCAAGCACCGCCCTACCCCTCCCTCTTCCTCTACCTTTCCCCTTCCCTCTCCCTCTTCCTCTGCCTCTACCTCTTCCCCTGGCTTTTCCTCTTCCACCTTTCCCACTTTGTGTCTTTAGATTTGTCTGTCTGCTAATAGAGGCCAGCTGTTCCTTAATGTGTAACAGAGTCATTTCATTGTTGTCCTCTTCTTGACTCGAGATCAAAACCACATCACTGTTCTCCTCGTCGGCCACATTTTCAAAGGCAGATGGCTGTGTGATCTCCATGTCTTCTATAGTATCAGGGATCTCAGTTTGGTTTACAGTTTGTGGCGCAGTGGCTTCTAAAATGTCAGGAACTGCTAGTACATCTGTCATTGTCATCGGCAGGCATTCATCACCCCCAAGAAGAGAGAAGGCAGTATGGAAGGCAGATCCAAAATCCTGCCATAAGCTGGGATCAAAGACTGCACTCGTGGAAGCCTCTGAGGCTGGTTTGCTATCCTCGGACACAGGAGAGGAGGGAGCTGACCACTGGAGATCTTCTAAAACACTCCTAGCTGTTCGAGTAGATTTCTTAGTGGTCTGGGTTTCTGCAGATGTCTCTGGTAGCTGGTTGGTTCGTCGACTTCTGCTTCTTCGAACAAGTGGAGGACTGTAGGTTAGGTCTCCAACTTCTTCTATGAATTCCCTTCGAGCGATGGTTGTCCGTCTAAAGCCCCAGGATTTCCTAACCTGCGACATTGTAGGTTTAAGGTCTGAGGCCGCACCTTCCACTTGGTTCTGCTGTTCTTCTATAAAAACAAACAAACAAACAAACAGTCAGAAAAGAACAAAATCATTTTTGCTTCAAAAGTCAATTCAGAAAACTTACAAACCTGCTTTACCTGCATTATCTTCATTGTTAATTGAACTATTACTTTCCATTGGGTCCATACTGACTTCTATATGCAGCAACATCATAAAAAAATACAATTTTAGTTAATAAACAGTCTGAAAGTAATTATCACAATTACTATCAAGTTCAGTGAGGCTAAATGCAGAAAATGAAACACAACCTGTGGTTTTCCAAAAGTTTTCAAGATGTGCAGAAGGTCATTCTGATCACTTCTCTATGTGCCTGTGAAAATAACCAGGAAAAATGCATCAAACCAACCACATAGAATGACAAACTAAAGATAGAGCTTTGTTCTTTTTAGCCCAAATGTTGGCCCTTAAATTTATAAAAAAATCACTCTGAAACTTACTTATATTACTTGTGTTAATTTTTGTAAGACTTTCCTGCAAGTCTACAAAATGCAAGGTATGGTTTGGGTTTCAAACAAGCCTTTGAAAAACTTTTTTAAGTTTGCTTTCTACTCTTTGGTAATGGTTGCAGCAGCTCAGTGTAGTTTCACACACTTTGTAAATTGTAATTGGTGTAACAGAAAACAGGATATGGCACAAAGTAGTCAATCATCAAATTTTTCCAGAAATAATTATAATTAATAATTGCACGTTTACTTTTATTGTGCTCCTGTAGATATTTAGCAAGTATACAAATTTTAGTTTTGTATTTTTCTGGTACTAACTATTGTCTTTTTAATAATCTCAGCATTATGTCCTCCACTGCAAATTGGTAAAAATGTAGATGCAAATGTGTTATTTTACAAACTACAACAAAATTTGTTTAAATAAATTTATGTCAATCAATCAATCAATCAATTTATTCACTCGATTCAACAAATTCATCATCAATTTACAAACACGTTCTCTGACAACACTTAATATACACGAGTGACGGTGGAGCAGGAAGGACATCTTGTATAGACCTGCCCTTGTCTCAATAATTACAAAAATGTCATGGCCGTATACATTAAATTAACAAAACAAGTTGCAAACATACCACTCTTCCCATTAACAACTCAAAAGTGTATACGAGTTGATCATTATTTTCATATAAAGTGTTTTGAATTGATAGTAGAGCATTTTTCCCCGACTCCTCATCCAAACTGTTCCATATTTTTACTCCATGCACCGAAATGCACCTTTGTTTTAAAGTAGTACGCGCAGTTTTACTTTTGAAATCGTACTTCCTTCTGTTATTTTTACCACGAGCTTAGGAAAAATAACTTTTGTAAATTAATTGGCAATAATCTCTTTCTAGCTTTAAACATAATAGTATTTTTTAAATTAATCAGATCCCTTCGTTTCAAGATATTTGATTGAATAAATAATTTATTTCTGTGTTCACTAGCGTCCACTTTATATAAAACTCTCATAGATTTCTTTTGTATCACAGACAAAGGTTTAGTGTTGGTTTTATGTTGCCCCATCCCTCTATGCAATAAGTCAGATATGGAACAACATATGAATTTAATGTCAGGAGTGTTGATAATTCTAAAACTTTTTCCTCATTTAAGTCTGGACGGAATTTAACATTAAAACGTGGGCCTTCAGGGTTTAGTGTCTACTGATTGTTAAATGATCAACTTTGGCTTATGGTGTTTAACTCGTTTGTGAACGCCTGGAATAGCTTGACGAGCTTCAAGACATAATCGTTAACGAAATTAGCCTGATTTGTTTAAACTAACCATGAACACGAGTAATACCAAGACCATAGAATGCCTTCTTCAAGTGTAGCTTACTAATTTAGCTAAGTAGAAACGAAACAGGCGTTCTTAATTTAAATAACTGACTGCATTCAGCTGTAAAACCACAGAGACGAAACGCTCTGCTAACTAGCAGGTTAAGCAGTCTTGTTGATGAAAGCGAGAGACATTCTGTTGTCCTCTACAGCTAGGTTAGCTTAGCGCTACAAATAGCAGATAATAAACGATACATTTCAAGGCTAGTTGTTCCCAATAGTGCCGTCTGACAAATTAAATTCAGATACAAACAGCATACCTTCGATATGTATTGTTGTTTTCGTGTTTTTTGCTAGATTTGTTCAGCTACCATGCTATCAGTCGTCCATTTTCTATGCCTTGGCTGCTTGAAATATCGCGAGAACGTGAAGAGGAAAAAGTTTGTTTTGCTGCTCCAAATATCGCGAGAACTGTTCGAGCAGGAACGCACCCTCTTTCGTAGATTAGCTAATTAGCCGAGCTTGGCTACGAATGTCCATTTTTCATTCGTACTTTTTTCGGAATCTTTCTCGCTCCACAATTTGGTGCTATTTCAACAATTCATATTTCAAAATGTTCAACTCTTTCAGGACAATGCTGAATGATTTTTGGTATTGGTGCAACTTTAGCTTTTTGAAGTCTTTATAGCCTTTTCTGTCATTTATTTCCTCATAGAACATGAATTGAGCTCGTTTTACATCCTTCAAATCTTTAGATGTGTTTACAACCTTTTACTGCTCCTGTCACATTTTGTTCTGCTTCAGCTTCTTTCAGCTTCCTTGTGCAAATTTAAACTTTTCGTCTACTTTCAGTTGTTTTTACAGCTGTTTCGTGCTCCTTTCAGATTATTTCTGCTAAAACATTTTTGTGCTTCTAACATGTTTCTGTTAATTTCAGCTTGTTATGCACCTTTCAGCTTATTTATACGTTTCAGTTTTTCTTTTATTTCAGCTACTATTTGGCTGTTATATTCTACTTGTACCTTTATCAGCTAATTCCAATTTTTTTGCACTCATTTAAACTTTTATCAGCCTAATTTAGCAAAAATGTGCTCTCTCCACTTCCTTCTAGTAATTTCAGCTTCTTTCTGCTTTTTTAGCTACTTTTCAGCTGTTCATTTTTTTGTTTCTAATTTTAGCTTTTTTGAGATATTTTCCACTTTTTTGTGCTTTCATCCTAATTTGGCAAACGTTTTTTTCTGCTTTCTTCTGTTAAATTAAGGTTGTTCTTAAGCCGTTTAGAACTAATTGCTGGCATTTTTTTATTATCTGTTATTTTTGTATATCTTGTGTGATTTCTTGTATTTGTTCTTTTGTACTGAAATTCTGGCACAACCTGCAGGATCGATAAAGTTCTTCTCTTATCGTCTACTTTTTCAGCTACCTTTTGTAGTATTTTCTAGCTAATTTTAGCTGTTTTCAGATAAATTCAAGTTTTTCTGATAACTTATGCTACTTTCAGCCTAATTCTTTGTTGCTTTTAGTTTTTTATACTCCTTTCCGCTTAATTATACTAGGTTCAGCTTTTCTTTTTTTTTGCTATTTCAGCTACTATTTAGCTTTTTTATGCTAAAATTGGCTTTTTCAGCTAATTCTACGTTTTTGAGCAAATTTTGTCTCCTACTTCTGGTAGTTTAAGCTTTCAGCCATTTTTTTTTCTAATTTCTGCTTATTTAAATCTAATTCAGCAAATGTGTTTTCAGCTTATTTAAGCTTGTTCTTTAATTTCACCTACATTTCAGCATTTTTTAGCTAATTTAATGTTTCTCTGCAAGTTCGGTAATAAACATTTACACTGCATTTTCGCAGGATATGCAATTTCTCTGCAGTTTTTGTTTACTTTATATATTTTGTTCTTGTTTACAAGACACTGACACTTTTATAAAAAGGCACATAGCATTGCTAAAATGCTGTTTCATATTGATGTTTAAAGGTGATTTGGATTGCTATAGCATTAGGGAACACAAAGTAACTTGGCAACAACTTTACAAGACAATTTTTATTTTTTCTTCACAAGTCCATTTATAATATATACAATATGTAGACAAGAACAGGACACAAGCACTAACATGCGCACAGAAAATATATATGGCCAACAAGCAGTGTGATATTTATTTCTTCTACCAGTTCCTGGACACAGTTTGACCTGGATCGACGTCGGCTTTGGGGTACCGGCTACACAAACACTTCACTCAGAGCTGACATTCTTGTGAAGAATTTCAAATAATTCTTTTCAAACACAAAGAAATGTGATTGCAATAAACATACTATTAAAAAAAAACATGTAACACTATAAATATTGTTCAGGTATCTTCTTACAAAAAGTATGTACATTTAAAATTTTTTAGTCTTTTGAATAAACCATATTTTTATGCAACTATACAACATAGAACTACAATACAAAACTGGTATGAAACCAATACCACCACTAACATAGGACAGTCATGATGGATTGAAATGCAGTCTTTAAACCTGTATTACTCAAAACACTTTGGCCAACATGAAGCAAGTGTGCTTTAAGCCAAAGACAAAACTTCAGTGAGTCAAAATGTCTGTGATGGCACCATGCTAAATGTGTAGTTTCTGAAGGCTGTTTCAAATGTTTTGTCTCACAATATGGAGAACAATCAACACAAAAAAACAGCAGCGAGGAGTTTCAGAGCAGCATTGAAAGCGACGATGTAGAAAATATCCTGCAGGTTCATACAATCTTTGCTTGGAGCTGAAACAGTGATAACAGGGCTAACACGGAACACAAAACTACTAAATGAAAACTTTTTGTTTCTCAACAAGACACGCTTCTTTCATGATGATGGTTTGACTTCAACACAGATGTAGAAAATGAGAATGAAAACCATAAACTGTCCATCAAGCAGATATACCGTACAAATGAGAATGGAAAAAAAATAAATCTAAGTGATTTGTCACGAAGTTGCAGGCCTTCAAGCACCGAGTTCGAGGCCAGTTGCCCCACACTGGCTACACAATGTGCCTGTAGTGTAGCAGTTAGGTCACAGTAACACCAGCACTGTCCTTGCTTTTGTCTATGTATGTGGGAGAGCTGTTTCTGTCTGATATTGATCCTGTACATGTAGGAAGTGACTGTGTGGCAGGAGAGTGGCCTGATGGTTTGACCGAAGGGTCCGAGTTGGGCTCCGTCTCTGCTTCCTGCTGCGACGCTGTGGCTAGCAGACAATACAAAACATTACATTACACACACTATACATATACTCACCGTCATCGTCATGCGAAAGTAATGAAACTCAGAAAATTAAGGTGCCTGGGGCATCACGTTTATATACAGTAATGAATATGAACACATTTTTTAAAAATAATCTGTTTCTTTTGAGTCACTACCAGAGAGATGAAGAAGAATCAGAGTACAAATAATATTGTTTCAATAAACAAAAACCAGGGGGGTTCCTTTTTTTTTTTTTTTTAGAGTTCCCATTTGATGTCACTTCCTGTTTCACTATGACCACGCCAACAATTTTCTATCCACTTTATTTATATAGAGCCATATCACAACAGAAGTCGTCTCAGGGCGCTGAACAGAAACATTCACAGCCAGTTAATGAAAGTTATCCGTCTAAAGAAGGAAGCCAGCAGACGCCTTGAACCGTCAATTTGTCACAGTCTCCCACTCTGAGCAAGCACAAAGGAGACAGTGGAAAGAAAAAAACTCCCTCTTAACAGGAAGAAACTTCCAGCAGAACCAGGCTCAGGACGAGCAACCATCTGCTTCGACCGGCTGGATTTGAAAAAATAAATAAAAAATTGGTGAAACTATATATTCTTAAGATGAAGTGTTCTTACACTCCTTTGAAAATATGTCCCTCTTAATTATAAATATGTTAATCTCACTTACAGTATAGTCCTTCGCTACTTCGTGGTTCGTTTATTGCGGACTCACTGTATCGCGGTTTTTCAAAATAAGGTCGCAAATGACAAACAATTGGCTGATTGATGGATGAGCAGCACAATCGGCATGGAATTTTTATTTAAAATAAATTATTTTGAATTATTTAGCACCTGCTGCACATTTGTGCAGCCCAGAGCTGGACAACTTTTCCTTCTTCGTTCTTCTGACAGTGCTAGCTAGCTGGCTGAAGAAAAAATGGGAGCCGATTACCCGGTCTCACCGTAATTTATACGGACCAGGGGTAAGGCTCACACAGCAGGTGGGCGTAGACTAAAGTTTTCAGTGCTGCGCTGCGCGCCTAGGGATAAACCCACTAGCGGCAGTCTTAAAGGGCAAAGCCTACACGAAATAGAACTTCCTATTCAGCTGAACAGATGTTCAGTGTGCAGAGCAGAGAAGTGGGCGTGGCCAAAAGCGCTTGCAGGTGGCAGAGAGCTGAAATCTGTGCTCTTTTAGAGTGTTTAGAGTTTAGAAACATTGTTTAGAATATTGCAAGAGTGTGAGAAGGGTTTAAAACACCTATATTTATACATATATATTAGGGGTGCACCGATTGCAGTTTTCTGGCCTATCACCGATTTCTAAAAAGTCTGACCTGCCGATTCCGATTTTGGCCGATACCGATTTTGTTTTATAATCGACACTGTCAGGTGTTAAGGTCACAGTGCACCTTCAATTTTCAATCTGATTTTGTTGAAAAACAGACCATTGAACAATATGTTAGAAACAATACAAACTTGTTTTAACTGGCCATGAGGTAGTGCTCTGAAATATAAATGAAGTTCAGACAAATGTTGTTAAAGCTAAAAAAATAAATAAAAAAATCAGTAAAATCGGTTTCTCATGCAAGTATTGGCCGATTTCCGATTTCCCAAAATTAGGGAAATCGGTGCACCTCTAATATATATGTATATACAGGTCCTTCTAAAAAAATTAGCATATTGTGATAAAGGTCATTATTTTCCATAATGTAATGATAAAAATGAAACATTCATATATTTCAGATTCATTGCACACCAACTGAAATATTTCAGGTCTTTAATTGTTTAAATACTGATGATTATGGCATACAGCTCATGAAAACCCAAAATGCCTGTCCCAAAAAATTAGCATATCATGAAAAGGTTCTCTAAACAAGCTGTTAAACTAACCATCTGAATCAACGACGTAACTCTAAACACCTGCAAAAGATTCCTGAGGCTTTTAAAAACTCCCAGCCTTGTTCATTACTCAAAACCTCAATCATGGGTAAGACTGCCGACCTGACTGCTGTCCAGAAGGCCATCATTGACACCCTCAAGCAAGAGGGTAAGACACAGAAAGAAATTGCTGAACGAATAGTCTGTTCCCAGAGTGCTGTATCAAGGCACCTCAGTGGGAAGTCTGTGGGAAGGGAAAAGTGTGGCAGAAAACACTGCACAACGAAACGAGGTGACCGGACCCTGAGGAGGATTGTGGAGAAGGGCCGATTCCAGACCTTGGGGGACCTGCGGAAGCAGTGGACTGAGTCTGTAGTAGAAACATCCAGAGCCACCGTGCACAGGCGTGTGCAGGAAATGGGCTACAGGTGCCGCATTCCCCAGGTCAAGCCACTTTTGAACCAGAAACAGCAGCAGAAGCTCCTGACCTGGGCTACAGAGAAGCAGCACTGGACTGTTGCTCAGTGGTCCAAAGTACTTTTTTCGGATGAAAGCAAATTTTGCATGTCATTCGGAAATCAAGGAGCCAGAGTCTGGAGGAAGACTGGGGAGAAGGAAATGCCAAAATGCCAGAAGTCCAGTGTGAAGCACCCACAGTCAGTGATGGTCTGGGGTGCCATGTCAGCTGCTGGTGTTGGTCCACTGTGTTTTATCAAGGGCAGGGTCAATGCAGCTAGCTATCAGGAGATTTTGGAGCACTTCATGCTTCCATCTGCTGAAAAGCTTTATGGAGATGAAGATTTCATTTTTCAGCACGACCTGGCACCTGCTCACAGTGCCAAAACCACTGGTAAATGGTTTACTGACCATGGTATTACTGTGCTCAATTGGCCTGCCAACTCTCCTGACCTGAACCCCATAGAGAACCAGTGGGATATTGTGAAGAGAAAGTTGAGAGACGCAAGACCCAACACTCTGGATGAGCTTAAGGCCGCTATCGAAGCATCCTGGGCCTCCATAACACCTCAGCAGTGCCACAGGCTGATTGCCTCCATGCCACGCTGCATTGAAGCAGTCATTCATACAAAAGGATTCCCGACCAAGTATTGAGTGCATAACTGAACATGATTATTTGAAGGTTGGTGTTTTTTGTATTAAAAACACTTGTCTTTCATTGGTGGGATGAAATATGCTAATTTTTTGGGACAGGCATTTTGGGTTTTCATGAGCTGTATGCCATAATCATCAGTATTAAAACAATTAAAGACCTGAAATATTTCAGTTGGTGTGCAATGAATCTGAAATATATGAAAGTTTCATTTTTATCATTACATTATGGAAAATAATGACCTTTATCACAATATGCTAATTTTTTGAGAAGGACCTGTATGTATGTATGTGTATATA